TTCAAATGTGATATTTAATGTTATGTTATCCCTCCAACATAACAGCGACAGGCGAAGGGAAGCACTGTGTCTGTTTGACGGCAGCCGACATGCAGAACCTCAGCCCAGCCTCCGACTCACAGTGTGACGTCAGCTGCACGGGAAAACTGACGGAAAAGTGCGGAGGAACCGACGAGACGGTCACCGTGTGGAGCACCGGGCAAGGTATGATCTTGTGACTATGACGTCATATCGAACGTCCGCCATGTTGGTTCGACGCGTACGAATTTACTGTAACTAAAGTGTTGTAAATACTCCACTCTCCCTCGCTCTCTGTCTCTCTTCCACTGTATTCTGCATTCTAGTTCTGAAGATTGGAAGTGTAAAACTGTCTCTATTTCGTAGCATGTATTTTTTTTGTACGGTATAGTAGATGTAACGATCATGATCACGGTCATATCGAACGTCCGCCATTTTGGTTGTGTAAATTTGTGGTGGCGTTACAAAGAAAAAAAAATGCCATTACTACATTTGAGCATGCTCGCTTTACAAATTGTGAATTTAAAATTTGAAATCCACTGCAATGATTCTATTCTATGTTTCAGTTCCGCAGATTGGAAAGTTATTATAACTGTATGTGTCTATTCCTCAGTCTGTATATTTATTTATACTGAAGGCATACTTTCCGATCCATCCCTCCCTACAGGAAAGCGTGAGCTGGCAGCGAAGACAACTTCAGAGAACTTGAGTAAGTGATTCAAAACAACTCTATATGTGCTTAGACACTAATATCTGTAAGGCGTGACCAATATATGATGTTAAATAAATTGCACATCAGCATTATGCATTCTAAAGCTTTTATGTAAAGAAAACTTTTGAAACAAGTAAAATCTTTTCATTTTTAATGTATTTTTAATAATAATTAAAATAATTATATAATTAAATTATTGATAATAATTTTAATAATATCTTTAAGTGTTAATGATAATTATATGTATATTAATAATGATTCATGATGATTGTAATAATTCATGATGATTGTAATGTTTTAACATTACAATCATCATGAATTATGATATAAATTATGATATAAAAGCTATAAAAGTCCCAATATCCAGAAGATGCTTGCCGGACAGCATGTACATGTACATGTAGTACGATCATAACTTACCCGATCCACTGTCCTTTTTGACAGGAACGACCTCCACACAGAGCTACAAAGGCTGCTACACAACAAGTGATGGAGCTCTCACCGCCAGTGGTCATGAGTCGTCTCTGCACATGACCAACCAGGACTGTGCCAAACACTGTGTGGCCCAGGGCAAGGCGTATTCTGGTAAGAGATCATTTATATAGATAAGTTTATTGAAAGTTCCTGTCCGTAGGCTAATTGCAAGTACATGTAACATGGACGTAAAGAATGGACAATGGATAACGATTTATAGTATGTGACTACTCCAACTACCAAACAATAATTCTAACTTGTTGGGTTCTACTCGTTTATCGAGACAATGGAAAAAAGTGATCCCACTTCCCCCCCCCCCTCTCTCTCTCTAGCTGGCTATATACTGAGTTTTGAACGAAAAGTTTATTGTAAATTCGTGCCCGGAGGCTAATTGCAAATTACAAAACATAAAAGAACAATGAAATAGAGTATAAAATAACTAAAGTCTACATGATAAAGGTAGCTGTCTAGAACTATAACTATGTCTAAAACTATGTCTGAAGGGTTTGACTTCTCTTCTGTAAACCATGGAAGACGTAATGTCTCAGCTTTTCCAAAATTTGTGGGTTTGGGGAAGTTAAAAGAAGAATAGTTTTTTCTTGAATAAACATAAACATGTAAAAGTTGCCTCGCTAGTGACATTAGATAGTCACAGAAATTAGGTCTGCACAGGTAATAGGTATGTAATCATCTTGTTAATACATTACTTGTGTTGTCCCTTCAATAGCGACAGGAGAAGGCAAGCACTGTGTCTGTTTGGCGGACCTACAGAGCCTCAGCCCAGTCTCCGACTCACAGTGTGACGTCAGCTGCACGGGAAAAGTGACGGAAAACTGCGGAGGAGTCGACGATATCGTCACCGTCTGGAGCACCGGGCAAGGTACGATCACGTGACTGTGACGTCATATCGAATGTCCGCCATGTTGGTGGAAGTGTGTGTGGATGTGAGGTGTTTTAAACGTTGTTCCCCCCAGGTTACTATGCCTTCTTTCGACTTTTCACGGCGAACTCAAAGAGCACTAGGCTGCAAATTTCGTCACCAACGTTATAGACAAAAAGTCAATTTCTACAACTAAAGAATACGTCACAGTTGGAGTCACATTATGACGCCTCTCTTCTTCCGTTTCTGAAATGGCTGTCATTTGTACATTTTTTAATGGTGGAGATTGAAGATAAGCGGTTCTAGTTACCCTCCATGTAAATGGGGGGTATTGTTTTTACTCCGTTTCATGTTTGGTCTGAGATCTGAAGATCGGTGAGAAGGAACTGTATGATATTTGGCAGATTGATGGATGGGGCCTTGGAGATTGTGTAGGTTGACTTTGAGCCCCTGGTGATTGACCTTGGTACTGCAGTTTAATTTTTTTATTCTATTGTTGGCACGTTATGGTCCGTGTGTGCGATGCTAAGGTAGCATGTAGTTGTGGTTACAATGGTTTAGTGATGTAAATTTGGGCCCCCTAGCTGTTTGCTTTGAACCGGAATTGCTATCTCAATGTCAGATTGTTTGCGTTGAATGATCTCAGAACCCGGTGGATGGTTGGCGATCATTTTTGGTATGTGGGTAGACGC